TTCCGAGAAATGAACACCGTAACTTTCCTTCAAAAGACTAGTTGTTTAGGAATGTCAAATTTGCAAACAGGAAAAAGTAAGTCATTGCTTGAAAATTTAAGGTGTGACACACTTGAAAGCCGAATATTTACTACAAAATCATGAGTCGCCGGAGGACTGGGCAGAGATTTATTACAACTATGGTTCACTTTATTTGGCCTATATGAGCAAGATCCCGTATGATGAGAGAAATGCGAAGGCGAGAAACGACCTTCAGAGGACTGTAAGAGAGTACTTCGAAAAGACGATTGAGGCGGGCAAGAAGGATCCCAGAGAGAGGGTACGAGTTAAAAAGCAAATATATGGGCATCTACGAGTGGCAACTGTGTTACTGGATTGCACATCAACTGTCGCACGAACTCAAATTAAAGTTATTCCCCCACAAGATATTGCAGATGCAGTAAAGCATCTGGATATTTTGGAGGACCAATTGGCTGATGATATTCCTCGAGGTACGCGAGTGCAGATTTTGAAAACTCGTTCCGATCAATATTATCGACAGGGAGAGGCAATGTACCCACTTGCCAAGGAAACCGCCGAGAAGGCATTGAAACTTGCCGAGTCTCATAAATTCAGCACCGAACTATCTTCGCTTCAAGAGCGCATCGACTTCCTTGATCAACTCTGCCGCGATCTTCCACACAGAGAAAGAATAAAGCCTCCTTTTAGTAGCGAGTCCGAAGCCTCCAGCCGTGATGGCAGCGGTGAAGCAAGCGCTAGTGAAACGGATCAGAAATGTTCAATTACAAAAGACTAACCTCATGTAAATGTGAAAAGGTGGTTTCGTTATTTATTTTTCTTTCAAATTTGTCATAAAAGCTCACAAGCAATCGTAGAAGAGTTATAAGAAGTGTGCTTCTCATCTCATTTCACAAAACTTAAGAATGAAAAAGGGCATCACTAAAGCTTGATTGTCTTGAAAGCCTACAACCTCAGCCATTCGTGGCGAACCAGAACGAGGGTGCACTTGACACCATGCCCCAACACTGAGTCGTTGATTTAAACCAGATACAGAAATTAATAATCCTGTAACAGAGTCAACGAACCCGTAAAAAGTGTAGGGAGACAGGCGCTTTAATGCCGCATGAACACCTGATAAACTCACCTTATTCTCCCTTTATCGAGCCACTTCTCCCTCAAGTATACTGTAACGAAAGCAGAGATCAGGCGCAATCATGCTGATCTTGAACGTAGGATAAAAATTCTTGTTTTAAAGAAGACGAAAAATTTTCTGCCTTTTCTGGAAGAATGCCCTGGAATGCCCAAGACATCAATTCCGCATCTGTGATTTCCAAAAAGGCTTCCAATTCTTCAAGCGCTTTTAAACTCAAGAGACGGTTCTTTTCTAAAAACTCCTTCACAAATCCACCAATTAATCGATCCGATTCTTGTGTCTCCCTATGAGTTGCCCGAAACTGAACGCGTTTTAAACGATTTAAAACTTGATCTTGTGTATCCATGGCATAATCCCCCAGAAGAGTTTTCTCTTCTCCAGTCTAACGAAAGAAATCATAACAAAACAAGGCGCAAAAAAACAAAAACATTCATTTAGATATAAAGAGAAAGCTAACATTCCAAAAAATTTAAGAACCTTGCTTCAACCTTTTTTAATAAATATTTTAAACGAGCCTTTAAATTTTAAAATCCAAGAAAGCAATATTTTCTTATTCGCCTCTTCTTCCTTTTAAGGCTATAATACATCCTCAAGCTTATAGGAGATTTTTTCGTGTCTCAATCGAATCCCACAATCAAAAAAATTCCTTCTCTTAAAGGAGTTGTTGAGGGATACGATATTTTTATTTTTGGCCTCAATGGCGTCATTAAAGAAGACTTTCTCATTTGTGGCCAAATTTGTGAATTCCTAGAGCATCTGGCTGAGCACAAAAAATTGAGCGCCATTCTAACAAACACCCCAGCGCGCGCGTCAGATTTACACGATGAGCTAAAAACCATTGGAATTGCTCCCTCTCTGTATCAAAATATCTTAACATCTTGTGAACAAGCTTATCAGGCCTTGAAAAATAGGGATAATCCTTCACTTTCCGAACTTGGAAAAAATTGTTTGTTTATTGGTGACCAAAAAAGTCGCGAAGCCTTTTCAGGATTAAACTTGAAAATTGTGGACCATCCTGAAGAAGCAACCTTTGTTTTGGTGACAGGAACGGACCCCTGGCGCAAAAGCGTGCGAGAATATGAAAACGATTTTAAAATTTGCATTTCTAAAAAACTTCCCCTTCTGTGCGCAAATCCTTCACGGTTTCAAGTTGCTAAAGATATGATCCACCCTACTGCTGGAGCGCTCGCTGATTTGTATAAAAACTTGGGAGGAGAGGTATTTTTTTTTGGAAAGCCCCATAAGTCGAGCTTTGAGTACATCATAAAAGCGATGGACCCCGAAGAAAATCATAAAATTTTAATGGTAGGAAGTTCTTTAGAAATTGACATTAAAGGTGCAAACGAAGCTGGGATAGATACTCTCCTTGTGGGGTCTTGCCAAAGTCCTTTAGAAAATATGGATGCTCTTCTTGAAACCTGCCAACGTTTTAACATATTTCCAACGTATGCAACGCCCGCAATGAAGCTATAAAGGTTTAATAAAGCTATGTTTTTTGCGCTTATTGCAATTTTTTTACTGATTCTTCTATCTGCTGTTTTCTCGTCCTCTGAAACAGCATTTATCGCAGCCTCTAAAGCAAAGCTGCATCATGAAGCATCTCAAGGAAATGAAAAAGCCAAGAATATCCGTGCTTTAAAAGCAAACATGGGACAACTCATCAGTTCCCTTCTCATGGCAAATACACTTGTTAATATTCTTGCCTCCTCCTTAGCGACCTAACTGTTTGTCCAATTTTTCGGTGAAGCGGGTGTTGCTTATGCTACGCTCGTCATGGGCATCTTACTTGTTATTTATGAAGAAGTTCTCCCTAAAATTGTTGCGCTCAATTACCCAGAATCTCTTAGCAAGACGGTCTCTGTTTTTGTTGCCCCTATTGTTTCACTTCTTTCACCCTTTACAAAAGCCATTGATCACTTTTCCCGCTGGACTCTTAAGCTTTTTGGTCTTCGCACAACCTCCAGTGCCGCATTTTCTTCTACAACAGATGAGCTTTTGGGTATCATTGATCTCCATGGAACAGCTGGCGGAGAAGCCGCTCAAGAACGCACCATGCTGAAAAGTATTCTAGACTTGGACGACGTTTGGGTTGAAGAAATTATGGTGCACCGCAAGGAAATCTTCATGATTGATGCGTCATTAAAGGGGGACGAAATCATCCGACAAATCTTAGAAAGTCCCTACACACGCATCCCCTTATGGCAAGGTACACCAGAAAATATTGTAGGGGTCCTACATACCAAAGCTTTTTTACGTGATGTTGCACGCCATAAAGTCGATGTTAATAGCTTAAATATCCTCTCATTGGCCTCTCCTCCCTGGTTTGTCCCAGAATCGACAAACTTACTAGAACAATTATATGCTTTCCAAAAGCGTCGCGAGCATTTTGCCCTCGTCATTGATGAATATGGTGATGTTATAGGCATGCTCACCTTAGAGGACATTCTAGAAGAAATTGTTGGAGACATCTCTGATGAATTGGATACTGTTTTAGCGGGTGTTCACAAAACTCGCGATAATGCCTACATCATTGAAGGAAAAACAACGCTACGTGACTTAAACCGTCAACTGAATTGGAATCTCCCAGATGATGACGCCGCAACACTTGCAGGGCTTGTGATTCATGAAACGCGTCAAATTCCTCAGCCAGGCCAAACTTTTCAACTCTATAATTTTAAAGTCAAAGTCCTCAAACGTTCCGGTAATCAAATCACCCTTCTACGCGTTACTCCTGAAAAAGGAGATTCTATACAAAAATAGCTTTTTCTTCACAGAGAAGAATTTTATTCATCCCCCCTTTGGATATGCGGAAAACATTCTGCCCACTCTAGCGGCGTAAAAGCCCGTATAGACAAAGCATGAATCCCTTCTTCAAAAGCATTTCCTAGAGCATCATAAACGGCCTTATGACGATCAATACGAGATTTTTCTTTAAAGTCTTCCGAAATAATTAAGACTTGAAAGTGGCTCTGACCTTCTTTTGGAGCGGATGCATGACCTTTATGTTTGTGAGACTCATCGATAACGTCCAAGTAACGAATAGCAAATTTTTCCTTTAAAGTAGTATAGATTTGTTCTCGGCAGGATGCCATTTTTTCAATAAATCTCCTTAAAATATAATACAAACATACTTTGGAGGATTTAGTTCAAAAAATGAACTTAAAAATTTAAAAACAAAAATTTTTCTCACTATCTAAGAAAAACCCTACACAAACATAAGTAAACAGAGAGGTCCCTCATAATAGCATTAAAAATGCATTGCCAGGTGAATTCATCCTCCGCTTTCTCTCTTGTAAAATTCACTAATCGCCCTCATATTACAGGCCATGAGACGCCATAATCGTTATCGACTGCCTCCCTTAAATTTCGCCTCTCCTGCTCCGCGAGAGTGTGATAAAATGGGGTGCGCAGAGCCTGGTGAATACAGAGCCCCGAAAAACCGTGCCCTTAAAGACTATCATTGGTTTTGCATTGATCATGTACGAGAATACAATGCTTCCTGGAACTTTTACCGAGGCATGAAAGCGGATGAACTAGACGCGCACTGGATATCTGACATGACGTGGCAACGCCCCAGTTGGCCCTTAGGGGCTTCTGCTCCTTCCTACCGACGTTTCGAGTCCATCCTCCACAACCGATTTCTTTTTGAGGAAGATAAGCAAGAGGACCATGCGCACCAAGAAAACGAACCCAGACAAAAATCATACTTCCCCCCTTATAGCGAAGAGGCAAAAGCACTCAAGCTTTTCGCCCTCCAGCTCCCCTTATCAAAAGACAATCTAAGAAAAAAGTATAAACAACTCGTCAAGCAATACCACCCAGACCATCACCAAGGAAATAAAGACTATGAGGAACGTTTGAAAAATGTTACTCAAGCTTATGGCATCTTAAAAAAAATTGCTGCGTGAAAGAGCACTTGGGTTTTTTACCAATTTTCTCTAAAATGAAGAAAATCTTTATAACTTTTATTAACCCCAAGAGAGGAACCTTATGACTTCAACATCATTAATGAGTGGCAAACGTGGACTGATTATGGGTGTTGCAAACGACAAGTCTCTGGCTTGGGGTGTTGCCAAAAAACTTTCAGAACAAGGCGCAGAGCTTGCTTTTACTTATCAGGGCGATGCCCTCAAAAAACGTGTCACCCCTTTGGCAGAAAGTATCGGATCTGATATTTTGTTGCCTTGTGACGTAACCCGAGACGAAGAAATTGACAACACCTTTAATACTCTTAAAAAACGCTGGGGATCTTTAGATTTTGTCGTTCATGCCATTGGTTTTTCTGATAAAGAAGAACTGAGAGGACAATACATGATGACCAGCCGAGAAAACTTCTCTCGGACCTTGGATATTTCTTGCTATTCTTTCACAGCGGTTGCTCGCCGCGCCAGTGAGATGATGAATCCAGGGGGAAGCTTAATCACACTGACCTATTATGGCGCAGAACGCGTAATGCCACACTATAATGTCATGGGAGTCGCCAAAGCAGCTCTCGAAGCCAGTGTACGTTATCTCGCAGAAGACCTTGGCTCTCA